CATTGTGCGTGCGCCGGCTGGCTCCAACATGATGTTTGCGCCCATGCTGGGCCTACACATCAAGGCGCTCATCAAGCGTACCTCGCTGTACGACGTGCAGGGCGTCTTCTGCCTGCTCGACTGGCTCGATGGAGTCATCAGCCACATGGACTCGAACGATCTGATCAACGAAGGCCTGGTGGACATCTCGTTCATCATCACTACGATCGGCATGCTGCTCGAGAACGCAGACCATGCGCTGGCGCTGATGCGTACGATTGCCTTTTGCTACGCCAACTTTGGCGTGCTCACGTCGACGACGGAGAACCGCATCTACTTTTGCGAGCAGATCCTGCTCAAGCCGAGCGTCTTCCACAAGCTCTTCCTCTCGTGGTCGTTTACCATCCGAGCGTACTACCTGCATCTGCTCGTGTTCCGCCTGGCGCGCATCCGCGACTTTCCGACGCCTGGGGACGATGCGCACGGACGCACGGTGGTGCGCGTGGTGCGGCTCTTCAACCAGCGGCTCGAGGCGCTGCGGAAGCGGCACAATTCGCTCTCGCCCGAGGCGGACTCGAGCTCGGACGACAACAAGTCGGAGGACAGCAAGTCGCGCAAGTCGGGCACGTCGACGTTTGTGAGTACGATCAAGCGCGCCTCGACCGACGGCGGCGCGAGCTCCGAAGGCAGCGTCGAGGGCCGGCCCAAGGCGGAGAAGATCATGGGCATGACCGCCGTGGATCCTTCAGCAGCGGCGGCAGCGAGCAAGGAGGCGAAGAAGTCGTCGCACTCCAAGACCAAGACCAAGAACTGGCTCAAGGCGTTCCGAGGCGGCTCGAGCAAGCAGGAGGCCAAGCAGGAGTCGGGTCGCGGTGTCAAATCGCCGCGAAGCGTAGGCGTGTTTTCGCCGACGACCGGCAAGATCGTGGCGCCCGAGTCGGACGACGACAGCAAGACGATCGGAAGCACGCGAACGACGCCGCGCACGTCCTTTGAGTCGGCAAGCTCGGACGCCATGTCGGACGTCTCGACGCTGGCTGGAAGTGTACGCGGCGGAAGGAGCTCCAAGAACGGCAGCGGCGCATTCGAGTTTGACATCAAGCAGCAGACTGCCCCATCGCAGCAGCAGCAGCAATCGCAATCGCAATCGCAGCCGCCGCAGCCTCAGCAGCAGCAATCGGGTAGCACGGCGAGCACGACGGGCCACGACGCGGGGATTGCCAAGGACACGGTGTTTGACCTGCAGTCGACGCACGCGCATCATCCACCGACGCCGGGGCGCACGCCGCAGTCGCCGCGGATCAGCAAGGCGTTTTCGCGGCGCGCGTCGATGCTGCCGGGGCCGGCGTCGGAGCTGGTGGCGAGCATGCTGGAAGGCGCGGACGACGAGGTGCCGCCGGTGCCTGATCTGCCGTCGGACCAGCTCGGGCTCGGACTCAGCGGCATGGATGCGTCGAGGCTCGAGGTGTACGACGAGACGCTGCACATCTATGCGGTGCAGAGTCTGCGCGAGTACGAGCAGACGGTGCAGGAGCACGACGAGTTTTTCGCCTCGCTGCCCGAGGATCAGTCGACGCAGGTGCCGCGTCTGCCGGTCAATTGGCCCGCCATGTGGTCGTCGACGGGCGAGTGAGTGCATGCCTAGATGTTGCAATCCACCTTGATGACTAGATTGGCATTGCGGTGCAGAGCTTGACATGGTGCCGACGCCAAGGGCGAATGCTCGGGGTTAGAGTGTGTGGTCTTTACAGTGAGAAAGGATGGCGTGCGCGCCAGGTGAAACAGCGGATCGAGAAAAAGCGAGGCCGATCTCGATCGAGTTCGGACATAGGCGCGCGCGTGCCGTGTGGAAAGGGCAAGGCTATGCATCCGGCGATCCCGCGGCGGTGGAATGTGCAAACCAATTGAGTGTTACTCAGCCGCGGAGGCAGGTTAGCCGGGGTATTTGGATGCGGTGGAGCTGGTGCATTTGTACCGCCCCGGCTTGTACGACAATCACCATCCTTCATACAAACGCAACGATCGCAACATGTCGAACGTCCAAGAGGCGACTGCAGCGGTGCAGGAAGCCAACTTCAGTAGCGGTGTCGCTGGTGCGTCGATGGGCGAGGGTGGGGAGTATGGCAGCATTGCTCGCAGCGACAATGACGCCGGCAAGCCGAGTGTGGCTCCACGCGTGGTCGCACCGGACGTCCTGCGCGGATTGATCTTGGCGCTCATGTCGCTGGACCATGCGGCGCTCTTCATGGGTGCCTGGCTTCACGGCACGCCCAAGCAGACCGAATCGGCAGCTACGGTGATGAGGCAGTGGAACTTCAATGCGGCGTACGTCAGCCGTACGCTCACGCACCTCTGCGCGCCCGGCTTCTTCTTCCTGATGGGCATGGGCACCGTGTATCTGCATCGATCCAGGACGCGGCTCGGACGGTCGAGCGCCAGGCTGGCGCGACACTTTGGCGTGCGCGCGCTCGCACTCACGGCGGTGAGCGAGGTGATGGGTTGGCTGCTCATGCGTGGACGCGGCGCACTGGTGATCAACATCGTACTCATCGGCCTTGCGGTGGACTATCTGCTGACAGGCCTGCTGTGCTTGCTAGTGCAGAAGACGGAAAAGGCCGCAGCGGTGGCGTTGGATCGATGGCAAGGAGACAAGCAGCAGTCCGAACGACAGCCACTTCTCACCGGGGCCGCGGCGGGCGGAGAGCAAGGCGGTCAAGACGAAGCGGGCGAGAGGATGCCCTCGGAGCGTGCGCAGACGACGGCGTTCTGGCTGCACAATGCGCTGCTTGCCGTGTTGACGTACGTGACCATCTTCTGGAACGTGTGGCTCTCGCCTACGCACGGCCACTGTTCGTCGCTTCAGGCTCTCACCAGCGCTTCCGAGCTGCCGAACGCCGAGGTGGTGGTGCTGCTGATGGGCATGTCAGCTGCGGGTGGCGCGCCTTCTGCGCCCGTGTCGCGGTGGGGAGCGTGGTTCGACTTTTGGTTCTATCCGGTGCAGAACTCGATGGTGCTGTCTGGCTTCCCGCCGTTGGGCTGGATCTCGTTCTGCGTGCTGGGCATGCTCTATGCACGCATCATGCTGCACCGACGATGGACACCGCGCGCGACGGTGGCAGCCAACCTGGCGGTTGCGACGGTGCTTGCGGCGCTCTTTGTCGCCACACGGCTGTTGCACGTGGGCAATCTGTCGGAAGGCTGCCTGCGCATGGCCGAGCATCTGGCACACCCGGGCAGGAACCAGTATCTCGCCTCGATCAAGAGCTTCTTCTACATCACAAAGGTATGTCCCGACGACAACGCGGGTGCGACGACCGATGGAACGTCTTGCTGACATTTACCGAGTTGTTGATGAGCTAGTATCCGCCCAGCCCGTCGTTCTTTGCTCTGACCATGGCGGCCAACTTTGGACTGCTCGCGCTGTTTTCGGCCATCCCAGCTGGAGTGGCCAAGGCGATCCCGGGCCTGATGGACTACGGCGGCTCGGCGCTGTTCTTCTACGTGTAGGTTGTGGCGGTTCACAAGTTTCAAAAGCGAAAAGAGAAGGGACTGACACGTTGAGCATTGATGCGGCAACAGGGCACACATGTTTCTGTACAGCTTGCTGTCGGTGCCGGCGCGGTACTGGTTTGAGCACGAGCTGGCCGACCGGCCGCCCAACGACTGGGAGCAGACGCGCGGGCTGGGCGACTCGGCGGCGTTCTGGATCACTTGGCTGTTGGGGCTGGCGATGCTGAGCCCCATGTGCCGCGCGTACGGCCGCTTCAAGGCAGCCCAGTCTACGGATTCGCTCTGGCGCTTCTTTTAGGGCGGGAAGCCTTCAAGTCTAGATATAGATGGCGCAATACTGATTATGCTGATTGATGCGAGGAGGAGGGCAGAGCAAAGATTTCGGTCTCGTAGACGGTGAGTCTGCCGTAGTCGTCGGTGCTGCCGATGAAATCGAGCTGGATCCAGGTGGCGGTGTTGTCGGGGTCGCCGCCGTCGTGGACGAGGTGGGTGAGGTCAAAGTACTGCTTGGCGTTGGTGTCGTTGGGGAAGAGCGTCTGGTTGGTGAGTGGTGCCCAGGTCTTGCCGTCTTGCTCGGAGGTTGCGATGCTGAGACTCATCGGGCTGAAACCTCCGGCAAAGGTGAGCGAGAGACTGTGCAGCTGTGAGAGCGCGATGGGCTGGGCGAGCTTGAACGAGAGGAAACTCCGTGCCGTGGTGGGGTCGCTGTTGGGCGCCAAGTGATCCGAGGTCCAGCATGTTTCGGCGCATCCGTCCAGCACGTTTTTGGCCTCCTTGGATGAGCCGGACGACACTCTGTGAGAGCCGCAACCAGAGGGGAAGCAGAAAGAGGGAGA